TTGAAATACAATTTGTTGTTAAGTCAAGGCATCTTTCATATAAATTGTTAGGCTATTATTTTCACATTGAATTGTCTATGTATTTTTTTCGTTAACCCGATCATAATAAGGAGCACACGGTGGGTATGACCGGTCGACAGGGAGGCTTACTCTTCCATGGCACCTGATCCCTCCTCTGTTTTCAGAGGTCCGTGATGGTCCTACTCATAATTTGAATTGTTTAAATGAACTTTTGAGAGGAATCTTTGTTCGTTATCTTCACATTCCTTTTTGAAAATTTGGTACAGCAACCTGAAACGTTATTGTAGTTATGCTCAGGCATTGCTTTCATCTTAATGTTTTCGGTACCAAATACAAGTATTTATTTATTAAATTTCTCCCCAAAATATATACTTTTTTTACCCAAAAAGTACATATTATCATTCGAAATGTTTATGTTCTGAATTTAAATGAGAGTTCCTGTCTCTTATATATGTGACACTATAATTAATGGGGATGATAGGCCTATTCATAATTTACATTTTTTTCACTTGATTTTAGAAAATTAAACAGGGTTAGGGAAAGCAAAATTCAATATCGCTTTTTATTACATTCAGTTAGACATTTCTAAAACAAACTAAAAGAAAGGTATATTTCCGTATATGTTTCGTTTGTTTGATTTGTACGTTTTTGTTTTCGCACTTTGCCCTTATATTGATAGACAATGACATTTTACCTCCTTTTTTCTATTTGCAAAATATTTAGATGTGGTAAAAATGAGAAAAGAGCAAACATAAATTCATGACTCCTGTCTTTTTTTAGATGAGGATATAAGTAAACAAGCTTGTGGACCATATCTTAAAGATGGATTTAATTTGAAGTCGATAACGAGCGGCAACCCTCTTCTGGTTCGTTTTTGAGACAGTCCTTTCTCGTGGCACAGCCCTCTCATCAGGTCATCACGGTTCGTTCATGAGGCAGCCATTATCTGGTTCATTCACGAGGCAGCCATCATCTGGTTCGTTCACGAGACACAACCCCTCGTCTGGTTCGTTCACGAAAGATACAACTCTCCGGACACGGTTTCTAAAAATAGGAACATCATACAACTATTCATTCTTCCACGAAGGACAACACTACAATTTTATCTCATCTCTCAGATTCAACTTGTAGATTTATCTGAAAATGGCTTCTTGTATAAATTGTACTCTTAATGACATTGTAATCACCTCAAAATCTTATGTCTTTATTGTCTTCGCCATCGGAGTGTTATGTGCTCTCTTAAACACATTGGTTTTATTAATTTTTCTAACACACAAAAAACTGAGGCAAAATCCCTACCATTTCCTGGTACTTCTTCTGTCTGTTTGTGATCTACTTGTCGGAGTTGGATTCATCATTTACACAATTCGAACACTTCATGCCGAATGGATCAATTCTAAATTCTTGTGTATTTTGCAGACAGTACTATTGACCAACGGTATCTTTCTATCTCTTTTCCAAACTTTTTTGATCAGCTTGCAAAGGTATCTGGTCATCTGTAGGACATCGTTGAGTAACCTTTTGTTTCAAAATAAGCGAAAGTATTTCGTCTGCTTGTTTAATTGGATGGTTATTTTTGTCTTCACAGTGGGACTGGTATCGCCGCCAGAGAAAAATCCTCAAGGTTTATGTAGCACAGACTATGTGTACTATAAACATTACGGTGTTTTGAAAGTATTTATTAGATCTACAATATTGTTTATAGTCATGACAGTTGTTCTTTATTGCATTACCATTCGACATGTAATTAAAATAAATAGGAAAATCGTTCCAAAAAACCATGCGGAGTGTGTTAAAGAGGGAACATCCAATACTCGACAAGTTAGCATGGCAACCTTAAATGTTGGTGAGTTGAAAACAGTGTTTGGGTCTAATGTCACGTCCCCTCGAACAGAACTTACCGGTATTGGTGCTCAACCAGTATTAAAAACCAGCAAGAAATCGATTCAAACACATCCTATGATTATCACAGAACATAGAAAAATCACAGGCTGTCGGAGGAAAAAGGTCATGAATACAATTGTCTTGGTTGGGATTTTAATGGTTTCCCTCGTCTTTTTATCGGGGCCACTAATCATGTCTCTCGTGGTCCCACAAGCCCCCTCTGTTTACCTCACTATAGCTGCAGGCTTATGCAGTATAAATTCGGTTGTTAATCCTTTTATATATTGTTGGAAGCTATCCGATTTGAGGGATGCTTTGATAAAATGTTTCCGAAAGGTTTTCTGTTGTTGAAACTAATATCTGTGTCGTTCCGCATAATTTCTTTAAAAAATAAATTTTGTTGTTATAACTACCAATTTACGTGGAGAAAATCTAAATTTTGTAGAGATTCTAGAGAAACCTAAAAGTGGGGGATAATAATTTGGGTATGTCCGTCATACACTTTCTTTCCGGATTATATCTCAAAAAGTCCTTAAGCTTTCATTTTGTGATGAAATTTTATGTCATAAATTTCTATGACTTAAAGAAAACCCAATTTTTTTAAATTTTATGTTACGTGCATGCACATATTAACCATCAATGGTGTACTTCACTTGTATTGCATTGTATTTCACTTTTTGGGAATCTTGAAATAAATATGTTGTAAAACTGACATGATGTTCTGCTTTTTCTTTCCAAAAATGGAATTTCTGACTTCAGACATTGAACTAAATACTTGCGAGAGAGAGAGAATTTCTGACTTCAGACATTGAACTAAATACTTGCGAGAGAGAGAGAGAGAGAAAGAGAGAGAGAGAGAGAGAATTCAAGAATGGCAATGAAGCAACTCTCTTTTCCAACTAATGAATAAGTTGATATACTGATATCAATTTCGAGACATTTACAAGCATGAACGTTTCAGGTCTCCTCCCATGTCTACAAGATACACAAAGGTATTGTACTTTTATATACACAAGGCAATGTACTTCAATATTATTATACACAAAAACATTGTACTTTATTATAAGGAGTTTATTAACTACGATAAAGCTTTCCGATATTTATATCTCTCCATTCTTTTCATATAAGTTATAGCCTATATAATGAAATAAATTATTTATCTTCACAATTAGTTCTCAGAATTAAATGAGTAAGAAAATATATTTTAATATATTTTAAACACAGAGTCATTTAACGAAAGTTTGCCTAGATCTAGGCTTGAAACAGGATATTTTTTTAAACAATAAAATGCTTTCTTTGTTGTTAGTAATATGTTTTACGGTGTGACCGTTGGGGCGAGCGCAGTTGTACCATCAAAAACCTATACACAGTTTACACTTCTAACGTTGATGGATCCGCCTCTTCAAACGTCAAACCGCACGAGACACAGTCAAGACTGTGACGTCACATGACGTCGGAATTTACGGAGACAGCCGAGCGTCTGGTTGAACGAGACTAAAGATCTTGTGCAGTAATAAATGAAATACGTTGTAGAGTGGATGTAATTATTTTTTATTTCTTTTAAGCCCTCTGCAAAGAAAGAAAAGTAAACGTATCTCTCGGTAATGAATAATTATCCTTGGTCTTCTGAATGTTTTGTAAGAATTTCGCATGGAACCCTGGTAGCGAAGGAATTCTGGGAATGTTGCCCCAGAAAATTTGCCTGACGTATGTACAGATTTCATTCCGAATTTTCTCTGTTCTTACACGTTAGTCTATTGAGCTCGCTTCGCGCCGCTCGCTGCGCTCGCTATAACATGTATAACGGAATTAATGTTGCAACTGTTGCAAAAAAAAAAGCGTAGGCGGGTTGTGTATTTCTTTCAGTTTTCTTTGCAATAGCTGCAATATTATAATTCTCGTACTCGTGGCGCAGTGGTTAGAGCGTCTAGAGTCGCGAAGTAAGGAGCTGATCCTTATACGTCGCAGGTTCAAATCCACGGCGGGACGTGCATGGAGACCAGTCCTTCGGATGAGACCGTATAAACGGAGGTCCCGTGTCGCAGTAGGTGTTGGTATTAAAAAGATACCTCACTGCTCAAAGGCTCTAATCGAGTGTCGCGAGTATACTGCCACCACTTGCCAGTGGAGGGCTGCAAATTTATACCTATTATAGGTCTAAATTTGCAGCCCTCCATTGGCAAGTGGTGGTGACTGAGTGAAAAATTCTCAAGCTGGACGTTAATCAATAAATAAATATATAAACAAACAAACAATTCTCGTAATAACAAAGAAAGAAAGGCATTTTATTGTTTATATATTCATGTATTTAATTTATGTCAATATAACTCATGAATAGTAAAGCTTTTAAACCGCTACACAAGAATTCTATTCAGGTGGCTTGCTTAGTGGCATTAAAGAATTGATAAACGACCGTGGTTTTTACAAAACAGGAGATAATATTCAGTGGATGAAAATCTGGCCCGAAGAACGCGGGGGGGGGGGGGGGCACTTCTTTCTGGGTGTAGTATGTCGCTATAGTAAATTTTCATTTAGATGCTGGTTTCTCCCCTCTACTTTTTGTTACTGTCAGGTTGAGCACTGGCAATTTCCAGGATTTAAAAAAAAAAAATTTTTTTTTTTTTTTGGAAGGTCCCCCTCCCCCAGCTACGGGCCTGATTATGCATGTTTGAACGGTAGTTTGACGGTCCACCTTTGTAAGCTGCTATTTATTTATTACTGTTGTCTCTTTTTATAATTATTATGTTTTGAGCGTGGTCTGCTTTTGTTGTGTTCTGTTCCGAATTAGTTTTAATACGACATACCTAACAGCGGAAGAGATTGTAAAATTTAAATATTCCGATTCCGGATTTTTAAGCGTCAATTTCGTCGTTTTTTAATTTCAAAATTAGCCCTAATAGAAAAAAAATTAGTTCCGATTTGAAAATTTCAATTTGGTACAGTGTTCATAATTCAAACCAAAATTACGTTCTCTCCCCTATCAACCGGATTGATAATTATATAGATAGATTATCCGGATATTTATCGCTTCCCTTTAATTTTTGCAATCACCGGAAGTACTATGAAGAAAACAGACCCACATGCACATGTTGATGTTGACAAGAAAGTTGTGTACATTTTTATTTAAATCTAGCCATGGGAAAGAAATCGAAGACAGGAAAATCGCGAAAGGATAAATTTTATCATCTTGCTAAAGAAACAGGTAACATATCGTTTCATCTTAATTTGAAATAATGTTGATTATAGTAAGAAATTCATCAGGTACAGTCCAAAGACTATTTCTACCTACGTAGCACAGCATAGCAAAATACAAGGTGTTAATTTGAAAACTTTTACCAGGGTGGAGAATAGAGAAGACATGCATGAAAAATCATCCCAAAAATATTTAATCTAAGAATGCATGAAGATAAGTTTTAAAATTGATACAGATATCTAAAAATATTTTATCCTTCACTACAAGAAAATGAAACTAGATGTAGATTTTGATGCAAAATTTTTCGGCGAAAATTTTTGTTGTATTCATTGTCAGTGTTACTGTTCCAGTGTTAAGCCACGAAATGCAAATAAAGTAAAAAGTAGGTAAAAATAGCTACCTTGAGTAGGTTTAAATACCTAGGTAACTATAAGTAGCTACGTAGGTAGAAATAGTCTTTGGACTGGACTTGTTCATGTATTGGCTGAAATATTGTTGATAAGTAAGGAATTCATAAATTTGCTATCCTGAATACTGTTGAACCTTTGTGATAAAGGTGATGAGGTTAAATTTTTGAATGAAATACATTTAGATTATCATATACAGGGGGAACCAAATGCTTTTAATATATGAACGGTAGACTTATGGAAATGCAAGTAGCCTATGACATCAATTGGTGTCACAAATGCCTTGTGCTGTCTGATGTGTTTTTGTTTGTTTATTGTTTAACGTCCCTCTCAAGAATTTTTCACTCATATGGAGGCACCATCACTTGCCGGTGGAGAACTGCAAATTTTGACCTTATACTCGGCACTCAGAGCCATTGAGCAGTGAGGAATCTTTTTTGTGCCAGCACCTACTGCGACACGGGACCTCGGTTTGAATGATCTCATCCAAAGGACTGGTCTCCAGGTCCCACAGTGGATTCGAACCCGCAAAGTAGAAGGACCAGCTCCTTACTTTGCGACTCTAGAGCAGATGCTCTAACCACTGCGCCATGAGGAAGAGGCAGATCTAAGTTAAATCAGTGTTTTCCCTTTATTTCAAAGTAAAGGATTAGAGATCACATATAACAGGCTATGGGTTGATATTTTTGAAAAATCTCTGTGGACCTTAGAAAAAATAAATTTTTATTTTTATTTCAAAGTGGCATTTTTATCAATTGAAGCACTCAATTTTTCCTCTAGCTGGCTCGTAGGAAAAGCACTGTTAAAAGGTCAAAAGTTTTCAAAGTCAAAAAAGTCAAGTTAAAAGGTTAAAAGTTATGGAGAAAACTTATATATAGGCAGTGTGCCTGCTGTCCAATCCTTATGGAGAAAACTTATATATAGGCAGTGTGCCTGCTGTCCAATCCATTATGTACATGACATATTAAAATGTTTATATTAAATCTAAGTTAAAAGTGACTAGGTATCCAGCAATTAATATTGCAACTGTTGCAGTATCCAGCAATGAATAAACAACCGTGCCTGCCCCATCGGTCACAACATCAACATATTGGAATTATTGCCAAACTGTAAAATGCTCTTGACTTCCATACAGGGAAATTGCCAAGACCTATTATAAAGATGCATAGAATATCATTAATTTTTAAGGGGTAAAAAAAATTAGTAGTTATATAGTTATCAAAGTGATACACATTTTTTCAGTAATTACTGTGGTTAGCAGACAATTTTGTTTGTGTCTAATAACTTTCTTATCAGGTAGTCAACAAGAGTTTCCCTGTTAATTATAACTATAAGCATATGGATATATGTAAATCACATGCTAATACAAATTACTCTTGTAGGTTACAGAGCAAGATCTGCCTTCAAATTAATACAGTTGAACAGGAAATTTGAATTTCTACAGAGGTCACGAGTTGTAATTGATCTCTGTGCTGCTCCTGGAGGCTGGCTGCAGGTGGTTGCTGAGAATACCCCAGTATCTAGTGTCATTATTGGTAATTTATATACATTATCTGTACAAATAAGTCCAGAAATTATTCTGAAAAATTAACAGTGGGAGGCAGCTGAGGTTACTTTTAAGAAACATGTGAGAAAATTGGCAGTGGTTGGTAGCAATTACATGTAAGAAAGTAAACAGTGGCTGGTAGCAACTAGCAATTACATGTAAGAAAGTTAGCAGTGGCTGGTAGAAATTACATGTAAAAAGTTAGCAGTTACTGGTAGAGACTCCATGTGAGAAAGTTAGCAGTGGCTGGTAAAGATTACATGTTCAAAGTTAGTAGTGGTTGGTAGAGATTACATGTTCAAAGTTAGCAGTGGCTGGTAGAGATTACATTTGAGAAAGTTAGCAGTGACTGGTAGAGATTACATGTTCAAAGTTAGCAGTGGCTGGTAGAGATTACATTTTCAAAGTTGGCAGTGGCTGGTAGAGATTACATGTGATAAAGTTAGCAGTGACTGGTAGAGATTACATGTTCAAAGTTAGCAGTGGCTGGTAGAGATTACATGTTCAAAGTTAGCAGTGGCTGGTAGAGATTAGTTGGTCAAAGTTAGCAGTGGCTTGTAGAGATTACATGTTCAAAGTTAGCAGTGGTTGGTAGCAATTACATGTAAGAAAGTTAGCAGTGACTGGTAGAGATTACATGTGAGAAAGTTAGCAGGGGCTGGTAGAGATTACATGTTCAAAGTTGGCAGTGGCTGGTAGAGATAACATGTAAAAAGTTAGCAGTGACTGGTAGAGATTACATGTTCAAAGTTAGCAGTGGTTGGTAGCAATTACATGTAAGAAAGTTAGCAGTGACTGGTAGAGATTACATGTGAGAAAGTTAGCAGTGGCTGGTAGAGATTACATGTGAGAAGGTTGGCAGTGGCTGGTAGAGATTACATGTTCAAAGTTAGCAGTGGCTGGTAGAGATTACATGTGAGAAAGTTGGCAGTGGCTGATAGAGATTATATGTGAGAAAGTTAGCAGTGGCTGGTAAAGATTACATTTAGTCCAATAATGAATTAGATACAAGTACTGAAAGAGAGAATAGAGGTCTAAAATGTATTAAGAATTTTTAATGATTTCTAAATTTTAAAGTATAGGTTGGAGGTGATGATTTTAAATCATATCAATTTAATTATTTAAAGTCATTTGACATGTATTCATATCACCTCTTCCAAACATATATTGATGTTACTTACATGTATATATGTACTTATATGAAATTACAACCAATTTAGAATATGTTTCTGTATGCTGATTTGTGAAATAAGTTACATTGAATATTTTATTTAACCTTAGGTGTTGATTTGGTTCCAATCCGCCCCATTCCAAATGTGAAAACTTTGGTAGATGACATTACTACAGATAAATGTAGACAGGTACAATTTACTTCTAAAGGTTTTCTTCTGCTTTTATAGGATTCTTGGTATAAATTGTCTTTATTGAAATTTTTACTTGGTTGATGAATATTTACTTTTTTTAAGGACTTAAAAAAAGAGCTACTCACTTGGAAAGCTGATGCTGTGCTTAATGATGGTGCCCCCAATGTTGGAAAGAACTGGCTTCATGATGCTTTTCAGCAAGGTGAACTTAATTCAGACTTGGTTATTATGTTCCCCAAACGAAGTTTGGGAACATATTGTTTTTACTCTGTTTCTTCTTCTTCTTATTATTATTATTAAGTCTTCCGTTCACAACGGAAGACTTATAGTGATTGTATTGTTTCTTTTTATTATTATTATTATTATTCCTCCCAAATTTTGTGAGCGCGATTACTCAGAGATGGTTAGATAGATTTTCACAATTTTTCACATGATAGTAGGCTGATATATGAAGTTTATATAAAATTCCGTTTTTTGAAAAATTCACTTCCGGTCCGAAGTTACGGCCGAATTTCCAATTTTTAAATGGACTTTTGTCCGGAATTTTTCTCGGAAACGGTTTGAGGTAAAGATGTGAAATTTACAGGAGTATTAGATCATGACATTCTCTTTGTTTTGAAATTGTTTTCGTGTGTTTCCGGTACTTCCTGTCCGAACCGGAAGTGAATTTGTGTTTGGTCAATTTTCAACTTCTTTGTTTTTTAACATTTTTTCAAGATATTATTATGTATAACAGAGGTTATTCTACAAATACTAAATATATAATTTGTTTTGAAATCAGATTCCACATTTTGCAGATTTTCGGTACCGTCATTTTTCCTAGTTACCTAGTGTGTAAACAATGGGCAAAGAAAGATAACTCTGACTTGTAAGTGAGAATAGAACTTTCGAGACAAAGGCGGAAATAGTATCGATGACGTCAGAGACATATACACTCTCCATATCAAAATATTTAGACGTTCTATATTCACTCTTCTAAATGTAAGAGTACGTTGGTTACCGCTTCCAGTGCATGTATAGTTTAAAGTTGCCAGTGTAGTGTAAGTCTGTATTGACAGTTAATTGATTTACACATGAATATATCTAAAAAAAAAAATAATTAATATATATGCTAGGTACCTAATTCAAGTAAATATATTATAAGCACTGAATATACATTTATAGTGATGGACAGGCATGCAATTTTATCTATCTCGTATAGTAAGTTCAGAATACGATAGTTATAAGCCTTCTATAATGCAGACGATTTATTATTCTCTATGATTTGAATGCGAAATTATCCCGATTTCCGATCGATATTGAAAAATATTACATACACTCAAACAGGAGCTGAGCGATAGAAAATTGTAATACAGTACTGTTTTAAAGCCTTTATAAATAAATTGATATCTGCCACTTAAAAGAAAGAAAATCAATCTATAGATTAGATTTGGTTATTACATGTATATTTGATAAAAAGTTAAATTATTTATGACACATGATATATACTCTATATACCCAAGGAATTATAAAAGATGTGAAAAGACGATTCTTGGATTCTTGTGAAATACTCAGAGTTAAAAAAAAATATGTGAAAACGCGATTCTGTGTGAAATAATGGTACGCTAGGTTTCTTTTGAAAAAAAAAATGAAAAAAAAAATTGCACAGGTCTGTTGATATGTGGGATAAGTATACCTGAATGAACACAATTTTATGCAATGATATATAATTATGTTCATTAACTGACGTCCGTACTTTTCCTTATAATTCATAAAACATAAAACTATCTAATTCCTTTGAAGCCCCCCCCCCCCCCCCCGTCTTGATTAATATTTGGAGACGCTCGTGCAGCTAGGCATTTGAATTATATATTCGTTTTAGATTTAAATCTGGAACATGTGAATATATATAATAACCATTTACATGTATACAGAATTTCATATTCTATAATGGTAGCTTTGTCATTATGAAATGTTCAATTTACGTCTGAGAGAGAGAGAGAGAGAGAGAGATTCCCTCTTAATCCCGATCCTCCTATCCATTTACATAGACCAAAAATTAGTTCTATGTCGGTCACACCCATTCTTTATTAAATGTTTTCTGATTTCATAGTCAGTCATGGTCACATCCTGTATATTTTTCAGCTTAAAAAGTATCACACGAAGTGCAGGTGTGTTGACCTGTCAATCAAAATCACTTGACGCTGTATGCACTGCAGTTAAGTAGCCTGAGTTCGAAATGATATTGAAGTATGATCTTTAAGTAAATCTGATGCAACAAACTTGTGAAAAAAAAAAGAATAAAATAAAAAATAAAATATCTCGGTATTATGAACTTCGATTGTGGGACGTGGAGACCGGTCCTTTGGATGAGATCGTATAAATCGAGGTCCCTTGTCGCAGAAGGTGCTGGCATAAAAAAGATTCCTCACTGCTCAATTGCGGTAAGTGCCAAAGCATAGGACAAAAATTTGCAGTCTCCACCGGCGAGTGGTGGCGTCTCCATGTGAGTGAAAAATTCTGGAGAGGGACGTTAAACAACATACGTATAATCAATCAATCAATCAATCGATTGCTGAAGAATTACTGTAATTGAATAATCTGTCTTATAGGTATGCTGTCAAATCTTGATATTATAACTTTACGAAACTCAGTGACTTTACGTTTAATGTGATACTAACTTAATTCATTATATTTTTTTATAACACCAACACAATTATGCCAAGACATACACACAGTGAAGTTTATGATAGTACGGTGTTCGTTCGTCTGTTTGTTTGTCTTAGAAATGATTGCAAACAATTTTTTTTTTAAATTGGTAATGATATACGTATATCTCTTATAGGTGCCAAATGTATTATGCAAGATTGATAATGAAAATCAAAGTACCTTAAGTACTGAAAGGACTTTTTTTCCAGTTTTTTTTTCTTTCACAGTAAATATGATATGTATGTTCTTTACACAGAAAAAAAAGCAAATTCTCACAGATTTAGAAGAACGGAAGACTTTTTTGTTGCCATGGCAACAAGAGTCTAGTTATTATTATTCTTTTTTTCTACTTTCTTCTCCGGTACTTTTTTGTCCGGGAGTGTTCTCATAGAACCACTCATCCGATTGACATGAAACCTGTTTAGGGTTAATAGGCATGTTGTGTAGGTGTTCGGAACGAAGGTCATTTTGCGCGCACATGCATGCACGTGCGCCCGCGTGCAATGAGTGAAATGACTGATATACTTGATGAAGCCGTAACTTTTATATTTCTTGATGAATTGCTTTGAAACTCAAGATATAAAGATATATTAGTAGTCTAGACAAGATAACATGGTCAAATTAGCGTGAACTCACGCGAATGCACGTGCGCTCTTCTCTGATTGGCTGATACAAAAATCTCAATAATTTCCTTGTTTTTTGACAAAATACTTTGAAATTTAGAATATAAGTATATATTTTAAGGTGCTACAACATGTTATATAGGAAATTTCTTGAAAACACGCGCATGCAGGTGTGCTGCAATCTGATTGGTTGAAACTTTAAATGTCTATAACTCCCTTGGTTTTCAACAAAACAGGATGAAATTTATGATATGGATAGGCACATCGAGCTTCTACATTATGATACTATCAAAATTGAATGCAAGGCCATGCATGCGCGTATGCTGAATTCTGATTGGCTAATACTTAAAGGATACATCTCTCTTATTTTTCAATGAAATTCTTTAATATTTAACACAAATGTTTGTATTGTGAGACACTATAAGAAAATTAATGTGAAAAATGTAGAAAACATGTGCAAGCACATGCGCTGAAATTTGATTGGCTAATACCCATATGGCTATATCGGAGTAGTTTTCCAATGAAATACCCTTAAAAATAAAGTGTCCATCTATATTACAAAAGTATTGTCTAATTTATTGAAGCTTTTGGGGAATGGGGCATCATAAGGGATTGGGGAGCCGTTTGGGGAACATCTGTAACGGTTCCCGTTACAATTAGCACTAGTTGGTCTTTAACATTAACACATGTACAGATGTTGGAAAGTGTTTTGTACAATGATATGTACGAGGGTAGGGATTTGTGATTTTATCGGTTTACTGGTATATCGTAATTTTTTTTCTTTTAAATGACATTATACATTTATTGCATGATAGTGAGGGGGACATGAAGATTTCTTCGCCCATGAAAAATCATATTCCCCGAGGGCAACACCCGAGGGGAATATGATTTTTCATGGGCGAAGAAATCTTCATGTCTCCCGAACATTCATGCAATAAATTGTTTATTATACCGAATCAAGCACAATGCGGGAAATATAAAGAAAATCCAATTAATAAAGTAAACATTTGATAAGAACAATATGAAACAGAAGTAAGTTACACCACTAGTCGCTCTTCATTAAAAAAAAACATTCCTTTGTGACAAGTCGGTGTAATTCACACACCAGTAACATTAAAACCCCACCAATGAAAACACTTTTCTTAATATTTATATTTTACACATTTAAATTGACACAATCAATCAACAGTATAAACAATCTAACTCAGTAGTAAACTCAGTCGCTGCATTGTGACGTCATAATTGTGAAACATGACGTGAAACACAAAGTTTTGTTGCAGGGCAAACACGACGGTCACGTGATTGTCTCGGCCAATCAGATTCTATTTTACTAGTGATTATTTATATGAGGTATAATAAATTAATATGTTGATGGTAGAGATACCTGGCGCAGTCTCAAAATCAGGTGTTGGAATTCTATAATTACTACAACCTGTATGTATTCATTCCTATTAGACCAAGAAAATGTAAGAAAATTCATAGTATTATACACATCATATTTTGATCTTTATCAAGACTTTATTTTATACAAGTTTGATAGATCTTCAGTCAGAAATACGGATATTATGAAAAAATTTTTTATCAGGCTATAGAAATCTGATTGTGATGCCAAATGAATTTTGACGTCAGGCAGAGCAGCGGGTATAAATTGTTGTTTGTGTAGAGCTTAGTAAAACTGAGTAAAACTGTTCAGACAAAAGGTCTTCTAAAGCAAACAAAATGGAGAGAAAACATGTCTAGGGCTTTAGTTTATCATTGATTTAAAGATTATCCAGACAAAGCATTTAACCATTGTGAAAGCAAAGGAGCTAGACAACAATAAGTTATTAAGAACGAATTAACATCAGCAATTCCAAAGTTGGTAATGTACCGAATGATGCACCTTTGACTGTAAGAGATATTTCATGATAATTTGACAGCACACAAGTTTTAAGAATCTAAAGAATTGTTGTTTGTTTGGTTCCTAGAATATTATCAAGTGATGACCAAAAAAAAATTGATGGTTCCTGATTGTTGAGAGATAGTCTAATGCTGAAGTACCTTTAGAATAGCTTTGTGATTATCTCTGCAGTATGCTCTGAGCAAATGGGCATAGGCAAGTTTAAAATTTCACCAGGACTTATCTAATGGTGCTATCAACTAGAAATTTGGCATATCTGTGTAATTAGCTCTTATAAAAATTTTGGTGATCATTAATTGATCTCCTTCTTCTAGAGTTAAAGTAGAAGTCTCAATAATTCCCAAAGAGCCCTCGTAGATGTACAAAGTATTCTGCAGTTTGTGTGAATTCTTTTTCACGTCCATCCCTTCAGACTGTTGGTTTCTTAGTACAGTATACATACAAACTTTTCAACTATTCAGACTGTTCTATGCACCTCATTTGATCACATAAGAATTACCTGGTATCTTGATTAGGGTTCTCCACTCTCATGTATATATGGGTTCAAAGTAAAAAAAGTAGCATTAATTTCCATGTATTGTAGTTATGTATACAATTTTATTTATAATCATAAAAAAATCTATAGCTCCCCCCCCCCCCTTTTCTTATGCATAAATCAATAAGTATATGTCAATCATATTTTCAGAAAACAGCATTATTAAAAACACAAACACACACAAAATGGTTAAAAAATATGATAAATTAATTTTAACAGTATCAAATACCTGGTAACTGTTTCTGTAAAAGTAAGTTTTTGTGGATATCACAGAAATCATAGATTATGGAGATATTGTAGAGAAAATGAGTGAATGAAAAAACATTCCCTGAATTAATCTTTCAGTATAAAGGAAAACGCAATAACATTAAAATTGCTAACTTTCTTTTGATGTCTATGCTGTATATGTGAAAAAAGAGAGAAAACTTTGTTTCCATTATCATGATTATTTTTAATCCCTTCAAAAAAATATGTAACAAATGTAGCCCTTTCTTACAGTCAATCCATAGAAATATTAACTTTACAAAGACATAAAAGCATATCAACTTTTCATTTTGTGCTCAGTCAATATGCTTTTCTGTGAAGTGATATATCTATGGATTGACCTCACATAAGGGCTATACAGTAAAACTTGTCTAATCTGGAAACCACTGGTTCCAAAGAAATTGGCTAGATAAGACAACATTTTCAGATGAGCCTATATTTTAAATTGAAATTAATGAAAGGGACTTAAAAGTCAACATCGTATTAGACAAGATTTCAGAAAACACATCATCCGGATTAGAAGGTTTCATTGTATGTATGTTGTGCCAACGAAATAACATTTCTATGAAATATATATCATGCAAGAAGTTTAATTAATCAAATATTCTGCAATACTCTATGATGTCACTTGAGAGTGAAGATACTTTAATTCCCTTTTTTTATTTCAGGTTTAATATACCTTCATAATGCGAAGTTGGCAATTCAGTCAAAAAATAATAAACAAATCCTCAGGCTTTCTCTCCTTAATTTTTCAAAAGCTCAAGAGTATTTTAATTAGCATGTGACTTTTGGATCGTGGGTTATATTTTTGGTGGGTTTTTTTCACAGAATGTTTGCAGTATTACATTTGATAATTTAATCAAGAGTATAATTATTAATGCTATTTCAGCACAACTGGCTCTACAGGCTTTGAAGCTTGCCACAGAATTTCTAAAGAAGGGGGGATGGTTTGTGACAAAAGTTTTTCGCTCCAAAGACTACTACTCCTTAATGTGGGTGTTCCAGCAGTTGTTTAAACATGTCCATGCCACAAAACCACAAGCATCTCGTAATGAATCTGCAGAAATCTTTGTTGTCTGTGAAAAATTCTTAGCTCCGGATAAAATTGATCCCAAGTTTCTGGATCCAAAGTATGTGTTTAAGGATGTAGAGGATGAACCCAAACCAGCCATTAACCTGATTCACCCTGAGAAAAAGAGGAGGTAACAAAAATAATTCCTATAGCTCATGCTAAGATTTTAGAAATTTTACTAAACAAAGCAAAGGCAGATAATTTTATTACACATAAGTTTCTTCTCTTTGTAAAATTTTCAATTTCAGGAATGTTTTGGTAATTTCATTTTTATTTCTACTATCTTCTTTTAGAAAATTGTCAATGTTCTCAAAAAATTCCATAGCATCATTCATGTATGCATGTACAGTACATGACTGACCTATTATTTGAAGATAAATTACATTTATTTTCACAATTGCACTGTTAATTGTAAAGAATGAATTGTGGAGTATGTTATGGAATTTATACACTAAACAAAATTGCTAATGCTCCGCCAAAGAAAATTCAGTTTTTACTTTTCAAAACATGTTTATGATGTATTTGATATACTATTATGCTACTGAAGTAAAATGAGGCATTTAAATGTCTTAACTGATAAATAAACACAATGCTAACTGAAGCATAACCATTTTATAGAAAAATACAATGAAAATTATGCCCTTGCTTTTTTGGAGAAATATTTTTTATATTTTTCTATTGTGTTTGTGTTCTTTATGTTTTTTACCAATTAAAAACTCAGAAAACAAATTACACCGTTTGTGGCATTTGACCCTAGAAGAGCATGCTAAAGCAATCCGTATGGTGTCTGCAGGGGGGTCCTTTGGAGAAATTTGTGAGAAATTAAAACAATTACAAGATTATTCATTCTGATTCCTCTAGTTAAAAATTGTTGCAAATAGATTAACAAACATGAAAATATGTGCTATAGATAGATAGCCACTGCTTTAAGTAAGCACCAAATGACAATTTCAAGATTGTTCAACAAATTTGGGGCAACCAGAAGTTGGGTGGACTGGATATGAACACCAAGGTACTGGAAGACTACCAAGTGATATGATAGTCAATCACTGTATATTATTTGACTTTTAACTGGGACACTGCTTCTGTTGCAACCTCACTGACCACAATTGTTTATTACCATCTTTATATCTGGGCAAAAACTGTGCGCAGTGTACGTCAGGAAATTTGTTTTTGGGCAAGCAGGTTATTTAAGGTTCTTGTCAGTACACCAAGACATTTGTCAATCCCACTGTATTGGAAAAGATGGCATATTAGGTATACTAGTACTGACATAGGCAAATACTCAATGCACAAATAAAAATAACAAGTGGTGCGTCAGCAATTTTGTCTATTGTATAATGATATTGTAATTTATTATCACCTTAAATTTGTGTAAATTTTGATATCACTACATTATCGCATTAAATTTGTGATAATAAATTCTCATATCATAATATTATCACATTAAATTCATGCTAATAAATTCTTATATCACTACATTATCACATACTGTTTGTGGTTGCCAACATGGGGCAGTGGTTAGAGTGTTTCAATCTAGAATTGTATAACAAGTAGTTAATGTCAGAGATCGAACCCCACTATGGGATGTGGAAGCTGGTCCTTTTTGGATGAGATTGTATAAACTGAGGTCTCATGGCATAGTAGGTGCTAGCTTGAAAGAGATCCCTCACTACTCAATGGCCATAATTGCCAAATGCAGGTCCAAATGCAGCCTTCCATCAACAACTGGTAGTATCCCAACATGTCATAATGAAAAATGTTTTAAGGTATTCCATCCCTAATAGTCTCAGATTCAATGAATTTGAATACATAACAGATGTGTACGGTTGGAATACTCAGCATATTTAGACATAATTTCCATTTATTACTATTAGCATGTAAGAATGGAATGTGTCCTGATTTATGACCTTGACCTTTGTTGAAGAGTTATCTCCCTCTCTTTTTTAAGTAATAAAAATCAATTTTAAAAAATCTATACGGTAAAAAATTGTTTTCAATTGTCATTTTATTTCCAATGATTTAATGCATCTTTCCACAACAGTATTTATTGATATTCTTATTATTTGAATTTTTATTTTAAAAAATTCGCTTGTCTCCATAGACTTCAGTGCAATTTCTGTTAGTTAATTACTGCTTAGTTAATTACATTTTTGAAACTTTCTCTTGGAAAATACTTTTCTACTGTAAAATGCTTTGAATTAATATCAGAATATTTTATACGTGATGGATATTTAAGGATAGAGAATTAGGTCCTATTAGGGATTGAAAACCTCAAGCAGACATGTATTACAATGTATATATTGATCAGTCAGTCTGTCTGTCTGTCAAAGGTCAGGGTTGAAAAACTCTGTGTGAAATCCATGTCTGAAACATAATTTCCCAATGACCATTCACCCATAGATTGAATGTGGGTGTGAAGTGACCTTATTCCAAATTTTCTAGGTCAGTGGTCAAGGTAAAAAATCTATATATTTAGAGTCTTTGTCTAGAGCATTCTTTTCTCTCCTTTTGACCCTTCCTAGTTCAAACTGCACCCACTGCCAATGGGTAAATGGTGTGGATCCAGTGACCTTAGGCCAAGTTTGTAAGTCAGTGGTCAAGGTTATATAAAATATTCTTTGTAAAATCCTTGTTTGTAGCATATTCATGCATAAAGTGTCTGTGAATATGCAGTAACCTTTAACCAATTTTCTAGATCAAAGTTCAAAGTTGGAAAAACCTCTCTGTGTAAAATCCTTTTATGCATGGAGCATATTTTCTCTCTCCTTACCCTGCTTGCCTCTCATTCACAGAGCACCTGCAGGTAGGGGGCATATAGTGAGCCAAGTTTCTTTCTCCTTAACACTGAGACAAAATTTTCCCAAATACAAAACAGTCCTCTCCAATACAGTCCTTTAGATCTCTTTTCATACTAATGTCCTTTGCTTTAAGTGGGGCCTTTTGAGAAGGTCGCTATCTTAATGATGTCTAGTATTGGTTCAAATAAATCAGACAGAATATGAATTTATTATCTCCAAACAGGGATTTTTTTTTTGTGTGAGGTACAGTGTTTTCCCTAAGAACTGGCTACTGGCCAAATTGACCGCTTCAATTGATAAAAATGTTGCTTTGAAATAAACAAAAATTAAATTTAATTGTTGTAAAGTCCACAGAGATTTGTCAAAAACCTCAACCCAAAGCCTGTTACAATTGATCTCTAACCCTTTACTTTGAAATAAAGGGAAAACACTGTATAGGTATTATAAATTATCAGTGGACAGTTACATAGATGATACTACATAAATACACATATTTATGCCCAATAGGACTTCATGGCCATAAAAGTAGTTCTACTGATATTCACTTAAAAATAAAAAAAGTATTTTCTTATAAAAGTTTTAAGTTTGATAATTCTGTGTAAATCAGCTACTGTGTGTTACAGACAGAGAGAGGGTTACCCAGAGGGAGACTATACATTGTTTCACAGCCTGAAGGCATCCGAGTTTATCAACAGCAACAACTACCTTGATCTACTGGCACAGAGCAATGAGGCAAATCCTTAGTTTTATAACAGAATTCTGTGTATTTAGTTCAAATTTGATACTTGATTACTAATTAAATCATTATTTTAAAAAAAAAGCTATTTTCCATTAAAAAGGAAATAGTTTATCGTCATAAGTTTTACTTTATTTCTGTTTTAGGTTGTTATTGATCTTCCAGAAATTGCCAATCATAAAGAAACCACAGAGGAACTGAAGGAGTGTCTTAAAGACATCAAAGTTTTAGGGAAGAGAGAAATTAGGTCAGATACAGTTTATTTTTGTTGAAAGGTTCAAGGTCAATTAGTGTTTTTTTCAAAGACTTTAGGAGTTAACTTTTGTTCTGAGGTCATAGATGTTTTTAAAGGTTTCAAAAAAAGTACATATTACCCCAAAACTCCTTTCCTTAAATGATTAGATATACAGTCAAACCTCGTTATCTCTAACTTGATGGGACCGAGAAAAAACTTAAAGATTTCTGAAGATTCAAGATATCAAGGGTTAAATACATAAAGAATAAGTGGTTGGGACTTCCAAATCACTTTAATATATCCAAAGTGTTTGAGACATCAGTGTTTAAAATATCCAAGTTCAACTGTACATATTGCTTTTTTGTGTAATATATATATATATATATATATTTGTTGAATCTATTTTTCTTAAGCACTTTAAATCAATTACTGTAGAGTACATGTATGTACCATTATGTACATGTTTATGAATAATTTGAGGATTTATATAAAAAAAAAATATTGAAACATTTACATTTGTAGAAATATCATCAATTGGAGGAAGAAAATAAAAAAAGACATCGTTCCAGAGAAAGAGAGTCATGTTCCCAACAAACAGTATGATTTGTCATCTGTTTATTATATGACTTGTCATGTGTTTATTATCTAGAGTATGATTTGCATAGGAATATTTTTAAAGTTGTGAGGAAATTTTCTTTATGAAGACGGTATGAAAATTATCATTATATTTG